TACAGGCATTTTGCTTGTAGGCTGCCGATTTTGTGATTATATTATTTCTACACCAGACCTTCCTCCCATTCTATTAAAGTGATACTACGTCCTATATTCCTACTCCAGGCTATCATATTCCCTTTGACAATTGGTAACAAGCTCATCTTTATGGCTGTTTGCAATATCCCACAGTCATGTGAGCATGATTCTGGACAAATGATAACCAAACTGGAAGGAAGGGTCAAGTGAGGGCCTAGCTTGGAGTTCTTGCACAACTGCACCTTCTCAGGGGAAGGGAAATAGTCTGATGACTTTCTTGTAAGACAGATGGTAAATAATAAAGGTACTGACTTTCACTAATTTACAGCCATAATTTTGGAGCTCAATTATGGTTGCAAGTTGAAGATTACCTGTCATGTTTGCAAGTGATCATTGTAACAGTGGGAGAAAGTGAAAAAGTAATTTGAAAAATGTAGTTTGAGAAGAGTGTTTAAACGGAGATGCCACTTAATTCAAAGCTAGAATAACAATAGCACTTAGACTTATATACCACTTCACAGTGCTTTACAGCCCTCTCATAACAGTTTATAGAGTCAGCATATTGCCCCCAACAATTTGGGTCCTCATTTTACTGAGCTCAGAAGGATGGAAGGTTGAGTCAATCTTGAGCTAGTGAGACCTGAACTGCCAAACTAACTGTGATCAACAGAAGTAGCCTGCAGTACTGCATTTTAACCACTGTACCACCTCGGCTCTACAGTCAGCACTCTGGGGAACCTCTGGAACTAAAATCAGTGCAGCATATTTTAGATTGAAATCAATTTCCCTTTATTGCAACTCTCTGAAATAGCATCCTCTCTAAGATAGGTATAGTTTTTACCCTGCAAAGATTCTGGAAATCAATTGACACCTAGTTTCAAATCCCTGTTATATTTTTTTGAATGTTGTTGTCTTGTCTGGGCAATCATGTTTTGTTATGGTATGTTTTTAATAGTATTTTAATTATACATTTGATATTTTGTAAGCTACTCATAGTCTTTGTGAAGTCAGCTGGTCCTGGAATGAGGAAGGGAGAAAGGAGAGTATGATGACAAACAAATAATTTTGTTTCAAGTAAAGGAAGAGAGACAGGAAAGCTCATGAAGACACAACTTGTATTCTCTTCGATAGACAGAGTGCTAAACTTGAAACTTGAAATCAGCTCTAATTGTAGACAGACTTTTAAAAATTAACATACATATTATTGAAGGAGGATAACCATAAAGGAATTAGAAAAGAATGTAGATCAAAAACAGTGGTAGCTTGTCATTGCATGAGTAGAACAATACTGTATTCAAAGGAAGAATTTGGATGCAGACTAGGTTTGCAGTTTTGTTGAAATCCATTCTGATGAGGTGCTTAATGCTTAACCTACCAGAGGCTTGAGTAGCTGTTTCATCATGGTGAAATATTTGCTGGAAGCATTTCTCCTTGGCTGTTAAAATAATATTCACTCCCCTTTGTGGAAAAAAAAATATGATACCATACAACATGTCTGGTTCTAAAATGAGATAATTCCCCACTGAATACATGTGCAGCCAGAGCATGGAGCAAATGTAGGTATTTCTATTCTAATTTCCCTTCTTACTTCCAATTTAGAAATAAGTGATTGATTGGTTGGTTGATTATGTACCACCAAGTTTGTTGAATCTTAGCCTCCTCTCTCTCTCCCCCCCCTCACCTATCTATCTGTCTATCTATCTATCTACCTATCTGTTTATCGGTCGGTCTATCTATCTATCTATCTATCTATCTATCTATCTATCTATCTATCT